TTAACTCAGACAAAAAAAGTTAATAAACTCAAGTCATAAAGTTAATTACTACTAATTTTTTATCGCCCTCCCCCTAAAGTGCAAAAAACTATCCCCAAAAACACGAGATTCAAAAATGCGTTAAACTTATTGTCTATCCAGTACAGTAAAAGTTTCTGGAGAGCCCCCGATTGCGCATTATTTAATAGTTTTGCGCAGTGACGTAAGACAAAACGGCTCACGTATAGGAAATAACGTTTTTTTTTAACGATGATGCAATTTGCGACCAAAGGGGGCATATTCTTCTCTTTTGGGGGATTATGGTTTTTAAAAAACTAATTGTCAGTCGTAAGAAAATAATTAATCAATTAATTAATATTAATTAATACTATTAATAAAGTTTATTAATAGTATTAATTAATTTTTGAGGAAGAACAAGAGCTTTGACAGCAACGTCACTTTTACGCACAAGAAAAGCAAGCCGCTTCTTGTTCTTTCATTATATCAGCAGGAGCAACCACAACAAAAGAGCAAGCAACAACAAGAACAATGGATGAAGCTATTATCGAATCTACCATAAAAGAGATCATTCAATGGCCTGAACGTCGCGTATGGGGAGGAGAGGATAAAGTGAAAGCTCGGATTGCCAGCTTCTTTGGTGCACCAACAACAGTGATTGCTGATTTATGGAATCGTATTGAACCATCTCTCAATGACGCACCAGGTGTTGCCGAACCAAAACACCTGTTGTGGTCTTTGTTATTCCTCAAAGTGTACGGTACATCAGAAGATGTCCATTGTGCCATTGTTGGCTGGCCCCATAGCGATACGTTTCGAAAGTGGGCATGGTATTTTGTAAGGAAGATCTTTGAGCTCCAAGAAGATGTAATTGTATGGGAAAATAGATTTCTTGGTCAACCTCAATCGCCTGAGGGAGAGTACATGCCAAAGACTGACTGTATGGTCTCAATTGACTGGTTAGATTGCCCATGCTACAAGCCTTATCCATTTAAAGCTGATATGTATTCACATAAGTTTAATGGTCCTGCTATACGATATGAAGTGTGTGTTTGTATTCAAACTGGCTACATTGTCTGGATTAATGGTCCTTTCCCAGCAGGTATAGCTGAGGGTGCTATATTTGAAAGCGATGTTTTACAGTGCCTCGAGGATTGGGAACTCATTGAAGCCGATAGTGGCCTGCGAGGTAATGTTAAGGCAAAGACACCAAACCAAGGGATCAACACAAAAGAAAGAAAACAGAAGTCCATCGTCCGGGGGAGACATGAAAATGTTAATGGAAGACTCAAGACTTTCAATGTATTGAATGCCTCTTTCCACCACACGGAAGGACGAGATAGAGACAAAATGATTGGTAAGCACGGACTGTGCTTTGGCGCTGTTGCTGTCATCACTCAGTTGAAACTTGAACAAGATGGCATGTACGGCGTCGATTATGATGTAAGATACAGCTGAAGACTCAACAAACAAGCAACGATTCTCTCTAGCAAAGATACCGGCACTGACACTAAGACTAGTAGTGCCATTCGCCGCAGTAGTACTAGTCAGTGACTACCCCTCCCACCAGTACTACTGTTCTGGGGGTCTTCATTGTTGCCTGCAGCACTGTTGCCTGCAGTGTTGCTCTGAAAAAAATTGAGGTAGCAAGCTAATTTTAACACGGCGTTTGCACGTGAAGATAAAAACCAACTGATTTTGCCCAAATTAGCACGCTAAATTAGCACGCACGCTATATCAGCGTGTTGGAGGGAATTTCAGGTAAAGACACTAGGACACAGTATGATTTTGAACACGGAATCAAAACCCTTCCATTTTGAGCAAAATGGACAGTATACCCCCTTGATTGTGAATTTTCTACAGGATTTCTACGAGCGTTTTGTACCAGGAAGCTCCAAAGATCAGCATTTTTGGTCTCCAGTTTGCACCGCTGCTGTCAGCGTGCTGGAGGGAATTTCAGGTGAAGACACTAGGACACAGTATGATTTTGAATGCGGAATCAAAACCCTTCCATTTTGAGCAAAATGGACAGTATACCCCCTTGATTTTGAATTTTCTACAGGATTTATACGAGCGTTTTGTACCAGGAAGCTCCAAAGATCAGCATTTTTGTCTCCAGTTTGCTCAGCTGCTGTCTGAGCGTGAATACATGTTGAAGTTAGTACCACAGTGGTACAGTTTGCGCCACCAAGCAGGAGGTTCTTGCCGTAGAGATCCTACTAGAATCAATATATTCCACCAGTATTAGTAAGCAGTATCCACAATTGCTTTTTTAGAGCAGCAAATCAATCTTCATGCACAAACACCGTGTTATTTCATGATGATGGAATCAAACACGATGAGCAACACCCTTGCACTGAGACCTCTAGAACAGCAATAGTCATACAAGTCTTAGGAATAGATCTATTGCAATGGAGAGCAAAGCAGATACTAAAGGCGCGCGATTTCTTGCTCGAGAAGAACCATCATATTTTGTTTAGGTTGCATCGAACATTGTAGTCGACCCACCAACTGCTGCTGCTAGACAACGACGACTACTAATTGCACTCTTTCATTGCTGTCTAGGGGTAGAAGGATAGTATTGATGGAAAGAAACATATATACTTTGACTACTACTACTATTTCTACTTCTCACTAGCGACTGCTAAAGCATCCTAAAGCTTTGTGTTGCTGTCAGCGGCACTTGGTGTCACTCGCTACTGTCGATACTACTCTTCAAATTTCATCAGCTCTGACTGCAACTCAACAATACCCTCCATTATTGTGCGGATAGGATCAAGATCTCCATCGGATTCTATGGATTCATCGATTGACTTGCATGTTGCTACAGATGGTGATCCTAGTCATTTCTTATTGATTGATTTACCTAAACGGTTGGAGGAGAGGAGGGATGAATAATGTGAGTTCTGTGGCGTTTCCGGGATGCAGATCTTTCATCCATTGCAACAGCATTGTCGGCAGTAGGAACAGTTGTAATGGCAAGATGATGGGGAGGCAAGGGAGGTTGAGCAGCAAATTGTACTTGTTGTTCGTGTGCTTGGCGCTCCTCCAGCACACGACGCTGGTGCTCCTCTGCTTCTTGTTGCTGCTGCTGCTCATCAGTATCAGTATCCATGCGAATACCGCTTGGTTCCTTACCTAGAGCAGCCTTCCTGTCACTAACATGGATTCGTTGGTTTGTTTTCTTCTTGTCTCCAATCTCTGCCTCAGCAATGATTTGAAGGACTTTGATTATTCCACCCGGAGGGACTTCCCCCTCAGTAGCTTCATCGATATCTTCTTTTGTGACAGTCAKGTCAACTACTTCAACTTCGACTGAATCAATGTCGGTGTTCATTCAAGTTGAAAATTGGATTGTCATGGTATCTTCGATGATCTTCTCCTTGAGTGGTTCTCCGTTATCATCCTTCTTGTAGAGCTTTCGAAGGTATCTTCTCATTGTTTTAAGCACAGCATGGTTCTTGTCAAACTGGTGTCTTTGCTGACCCTGTTGAATAGCAACATGTCTTGTGACCTTCTTGAACCACTTTGGCCAGCAAATCGTAAGCTGCAGGTTGTAAGGATCAAGCCATTCGGGATCGATGAGTTTTGGATTGATTCCATTGTGCATGATCATCCTGATCATGGTATAAACGTTATCCTCATAATCTTCATCAGATGAATCATCATTGATCACATCTTGATTGTCCCAGGTTCCAATAAGAGTAGGATAAACGCTGCCAATGATATTCACGTGACTGCAGTCCTCGAGGCTCATATTGTTTGCTGCTTCAGTTAGATCTGCGACGGAAAGAGATGGAGCTGCCATCGAAGAAGGAGCTGATTTCTTCTTTGAAGAAGAAGCTGGTGCTGCAATAGGCATGATGGTGGTGGCTTGTTCTTCTACTTTGCGTTTTCTTCTCCTTGGTGATGGTGTCGTAAAGAAGCTTGTCGTGGGGGGGGAGCAAAACCAACGCTGTTTGGTGAAAAGATGGTAGTCGGTGCTGTTGATGATTGAGGAGTATCAGCAACAGGAGTTCGTGGAGGAATGCCTTCAAGTGCCGGCTCAACTATGTCAAAATCCACTTCAAAGAGCTGTTCAGCAAGCCAACTCAATTTCTGCAAAGAAGAAAGAAGCAACAAGAGTCAACAACAATCGGTGCTGTTGGGTGAGAAATGAGAATCAATTGCATTTCGAATTGCCATCATTGAAACGTTGTTCTTACTCTAGCTCGATTATAGAATCCACCAGGTGTCTTCCAATGCTCATGTATTACTTTGAAGTGCCTCCAGTGTTCCCTGGTACCAGACTTGGTGTTGTCCCAACCTTCAGTGCCGTCGGTTTTCAGAAATAGCCAGTAGTAATAGGTCACTAGCTGTTCAATTGTTGTTAGCTTGTTGAACGACGCTTCTGGTGATTGATGCTTAGTTATCTTGTTCTTAGATCCCACTGTCCTTGCCATGGAGGAAGAGGGGATTGTTGCTGCTTTCAAGTGAAGAATATTGTGAATGAATAGTACGATTGCTTCCAACTAACTAATTCTTGCTGAAATAGTACAGCTGACTGATAGTTTTTAGTGATGCTTTGCGGCAAGGCTGTATTCAACTAAGTATCGAGACCATTCCAAGAAAGTTGAGGAAGGAACGCGCATAGCGTGCACGGGAATAATAAGAGTTTTAGTCTTGTCCGTTATTTCTATAGGATCGATATACATACTTGTATATCAGAAACAGTGTCATAAACGTTAAAAACGCATTGGTCTTATACTCCAAGCGACGAGTAATAACAATTAACTTGCTCGCAGCTAATAATAAAGTTTATTAATACTATTAATAAACTTTATTGTTGATATTAATTAATATTAATTGTTAGGCATATTAAAATAATTAATCCTCGATCTTGTTATACCCCAAAACATATTTAAGAAGCCCCAAAAACAAGAAGAATCGTTACAAGACTAGATGCGGGCCGGCTGCGCCACTTATGCTATTCTACAGTTATAGTAATTCTCGTGCGAATATTAAATAATGCGCGATCGGGGGCTCTCCTGCGGTCGCAATTTCTCGCGCGTTGGTATTAAAAAAGCGCGATCAGGGGCTCTCCGGAAAGTTGTTCGTTCGAAAGATATCTTCGAAATTTGTGGGTTGACACGGCGCAAAATTTCCACAATGCTACGAATTACGGTTCAGTATTTAGTCGTTGGTCGAAAGAGGGAAGAAACGAAACAGTTGTTACCGCACTATTACAAGGATCTTTCGTTTTGCAGCCATTGATTGATTCGAAGGAATACTGTAGTGGTGCCGCACCTGGACAAAACAGAAGCGAAAAGGAAGCGAAAGCGACCGATGCCCAAGGTACCCACGTGAAGAAAACGATGGCGGAGAGGGCAATTTCGATTTCATCCACGTCGATGCCGTTGAGCAGAAGCAAGAAGCGCCAGAGACTCCCGAGGATTCGCGGTGCCCTTCGCTTCGTGCCACTGATCTTTGTCGCGGTGTTCCAGCAGGAGGCAGCTACTAAAGCCTTCGTAGCCACTGCCTTCCGGCCTCCGGGCACCACGGCAAAGTTTCCTTTCCATCGCCACTGTACCGGTAGCCATGTCTTGTCCATTCCCGAAGCCGACGCCCTGGACGACGATTGCAAGGAGCGTATTGCCGGCCACATAATCGAATCGGGAATATGGAAGGGCAAGACCGACGATCCGTCGTCTTCCGACCAGTTGCTCCTGCTGGCGAGAGATTTCGTGGACAGGCCGGAAGTCTTTTCGTCTCTGCTCATGTCGGACTTTGGGTTCCCCGCCCTCGTTGCCCATCAAACAAGGGCACTGGCAATGGCGGCCATCCGGAGAGAACAAGCCGAGGTGCGCAGGGAAGCAGAGCTGGTGGAGCCACAGAACACGCAAGACTCCGGAGATGCTTCCCGGACGTCGAACGACTCGGAGGCCGTGGCAAACCCCGGGGTCACCGACCACCGAGACGGTGTGGTCGGCGCGCGCCATTCCATCGGCGGGGAGCCGGCAGCGGACGAAAAGGCGGGGGTTGCGGCCAAACGATTCTCCCACAGCGAGCTCCAGTCGTCGGTCGTGAACGAACGAGCGCGGCGCCGGATGCGTTCTCTCGAGGACTACAACTACGGCCTGCCGAGCGATTACGCGAAAGTGTATCCGAAGCTGGCATCGGAACTGGACGAGTATTATACCTTCATGACACAGCCGTCGACATACTCCCAGGAAAGCCCCATCCGAGACGCAACCGCGAAGGTCTACATGAACCACGCGAAGCTCTTTCTGGGGTGGTGCTGCCGGAAGACGGAGGGCAACCGGGACGAGACCGAGGCCTCCGATGCATCGCTGTTCGCCCTGATACCCAACAAAGACAAGGAGTCCGCCGACCACATCATTCGGTTCGTCCTGTGGTTGCGTTCCAGGGAGATCAGTGTGTCCTACGAGGCCAACCTGCTGAGGGGGATCATCAAGCTGCTAAAATTCCGCTTTGCCAGGGAATCCAATTCGGACCCCCTGGAGGGGCAGAACACCTTTGACGACATCCCTCTCATCCGGGAGGTCCGCAAGCTCCACCGGGATGCCAACCAGCGCCAGCGGCTGGCACCGAGGTCGAGCGACGAAACCAAGAAATGGATAACCTGGAAGGACTATCTGGAGGTGGTCCGGAAGGTCAAGAACGAGGTCCTGGAGCTCATCGAGGGCTACGAAAACCTGCCGGCCTCGGAACGAACCTACCCAGGGGGCGAGAAAGAGGGCCTCTACAGCAGGCAGCAAAAGAAGGTGGCGGAGGCCTACCAGCGGTACCTGATCCTGGCCATCCTGGCGAGCATCCCCGACCGGCAGCGGACCCTCCGGGAGCTGGAGGTCGGGAGGACCCTTGCAAAGGACCCCGAGACGGGCTGCTGGACGGTCAAGCACGGGCCCGGCGACTACAAGACGGGGAAGCACTACGGGGAACGGCCGGCGATGCAGCTGGCGGAGGAGCTTACCCCCGCGATCGACGACTTTCTCGCGCGCTGGCGGCCGGCCCTGGAGCCGTCCACGGGGTTGCTCCTGGTCCAGGCCCGGACGGGCAAGCCGATGACGAGCAACTCGGTCTTCAAACGGGTCGTCCGGTGCTGCTTCCAGCACACCGGGAAGAAGGCGAACCCGCACCTGCTCCGGGACATTCTCGTGACGCACGTCCGCGAGACGGAGGCCTCCGAAAAGGAGCTGGAGGCCCTGGCCCTGTACATGGGCCACTCGATCCAGATGCAGCGGACCTCCTACGACCGGAGGACCCTGGGCGCCAAGGTGGCCCCCGCCGTCGAGCTGATGCGGTCGGTGAACGGAAGCCCAGGGGGCCGGGCCCCTCCGAGGCTCGCCGGCTAGCACAGGACCAGAGCCCGTTTCCGAACGGCGCGGCGGAAGTGCACACAAAGGATCGGTGCGGAACACGCGTCCGCGATGGCGTCGCGTCGCGTCCGTTCGGCGGCCCACACCGGGGGAGGGGTCGGGACGGACGACACGACGCGACACGACACGACGCGACACGACACGAGACAAAGACCACCGCACAAACTTTGTGGAAAGCAAAGGGAAGGAACACACGGGCATTTCTGTATTGCAGAGGAATGGGTGTGCACACAATGTGGTTGTTTGCAATCCCCAAAAATCGTTTGTTCCATACACGGTAGAATCAACACGAACCAACAAGGCCCGAGCTAGAAATCACCATTGCGTTACAAACTTGGTATTGGCTTGGATTTAGATTGCATTGAATAGGATTGTATTAAAAATGGCATCGGATGTCACGGCACGGCACGGCACGGCACGGGACCACACCAGACCGCAAAACAACTCCGTTACATGACCCGACAGTCGTCTTCCCCGGGGATTCCGCTTCCCCCTGGAAAGGGAGGGAACCCCCCGGCGATGTCCGGGAAGCCATCCCCGTCCGGTTCTAGGCCCGGGGCAATGGCGCGTAGGATTTCGGCCGGCGGCGGCCCGTGCTCCTGGATCTGCTGCAGGAGCTCCAGGATCCTGGTGTTGTCGCTTTCGTCGTTGTTGTTGTGGTCGTTTTTGGCGTCGCTGTCGTTGCCGGCCTGCTCCTCGTATGCCCCGACCAGGTTCCGAAAGCACTCGTACTGTTGGTTCCGCCGGTCCCACTCGCCGAAGGGGAGGTCTTTGTCGTCCTTGTGGCGCTCGAGCCAGGAGGGAAACCGGTCCGCGACCTCTTTCATCGGCTCGTACATGAGGTCCCTGGACAGGAGCTCCTTCAGCAGGCCGTCGACCAGGTCGTCGGGGGAGAATCCCCCCTCCCCGCCCTTGTCCGTGCCCGCGCTTGCCCCCGGCCCCCCCGGGAGGCCCCCTTCCCCGGGGGCTTCCCCGCCGGCCGCGGCCACCAGGCCCTCGAAGAGCCCCCGCAGGAGCCGTTCGTCGTCGTCGTCGTCGTCCCCGCCGAGGGCACCACCGGCCGAGGCATCAAGGGGTGCGGCCGGAAGGCGGCCAGCGTCCGGGGCGTGCAGGGGGGGGTGGCTCTTGCGTTCGCGGTCGCAGCGGCCGCTAGCAGGGGGTGCGGCCGGCGGGGGCCGGTCGGGGCCAAAGGGGACGCGGTGCTTGTGCCCCGGGTGGGAAAGCGGAAGGGGGCCGGCACCCGGGCGCCCCTGGTCGGTCCTTTCGCGGTGGTGGATCCCGGCGTTCCCGCCTTGGGATGCGGCGCTTCCGCCGTCCTCCTCCTCCAGCTCGTCGAGGGCGTCGTCGAGTATGGCGTCCATGTCCGGGCCGATGGAGTCTGCCATGATGCTGTTCTTTCTTTGTTCGTTTGCTTGTTCGTTTGCTTGCTGGTTCGTTCGTTCGTTTGTTCGTTTGTTCGTTGCACACGCAAAGCGAAGGTGGGAAGAACAGAAGGAACGAAAAAATACTGTAAACGCTGTGCCGGAAGGTACTGTGCAGGTATTGGGTCATTCCCGATAGTCTAGACGGTCTAAAATTCTAAAAGGTCTAGTTTAGACTTTTAGTTTAACGGGAATCATTAAAAACAAGGTCCCAACGGACAGTTTTTTTAGTCTTAAAGGAATTTGGAATCACGCCAACGGCAATGACTAAGACAGGAAAAGCGCGCCAGTATGTCTTTCGGTACTAAGTAAAATACGAAATTTTTAACACGGAAATAATTAAAAATCACAACGCTCACAAATTTGAGCTGTTCCCTAAACAAAAGACAAGAGTTTCCTCCCAGCAAACAAAAGAGACGCAATGGGTGTAATTGAGACCCTTTGCATATACTTTGCAGCCAAGCATAGAGCACGCTTGAAGGATGAATGGGATGGAAAACAGAAGTCCAAGGAGGAGAGACGCAGAAGGGACAGAAGAACACCACGCATAGCCATCCGTAGATATGCTGAATCCCCCTTTGTCTTCCTCTTCCAGTCCGGGGATGACCAAGCACTCCTCAACTGYTGYGGTGTAGACCACAAGGTCTTCAGGGATCTTSTTSASCTSTTTGCTCCAGCTTTCAACAGATACTCAGTCAACAAGAACAATGAGATAGTTCTTCTAGCTCCCACTAGGAGTGGAAAGAAGATGGGAAAGCCAAGGGAGGCCGACGCTACTTGTTGCCTTGGACTAGTGCTCTTCTGGTACAGGACTAGAGGATCTGTTGCAAGAGGAATGGCAATGGCGTTTGGTCTTACATCCACAGTGATGTACAAATGGCTCAAGTTCTCCATGAGGATCCTTCTTTCAGTGCTCCATAAACATCCACTCGCCATGGTGAATCTGCCAAGTGAGCAAGAAATCAATGAATATGTTAGAGCAATTGGAGCAAAGTATCCACGACTTGAAGAACAACGCGTCTGGGCAGCAGCGGATGGGCTCAAGGTGGAGATCCAGTCTTCTGAAGACTGGCTTAAACAAGAGGTCTTCTTCAACGGATGGAAKGCAGATACTTACGTGAATGGAGTGTTTGTCTTTGCACCGGATGGTAGGATCCGCATAGGAACTTTCAATTGCCCTGGCACATGGCACGACAGTACCATCAGTGACTATGGCATATACGACAAGATGGAGCAATTGGATGCCGACTGTACTGCTGCTGGAGGGGCAAAGGTGGTTGTTGATTCAGCTTTTGGCTTATTAGGAAGGCCCTTCCTAATTCAAAGTTCTCAAACCGATCCCGAGGGGGATGAACAGCTCCTATTAAATAGGGACGCCACGTCACTCAGACAGATGTCCGAGTGGGGGATGAGGATGATCCAGGGGCAGTTCCCAAGGATGAAGGATAGGCTTAGGTTGGAGGACTTTGGRKAGAGGAAKGTGATCATTCACTTAATGATCAACTTGTACAACTACCAATGCAGTACCATTGGACACAACCAGATCTTAACAGTCTTCATGAAGACGCCGCCCGCAGAGGCGACACGGGAGGCTATGGAGGCGCCTCATAGGCTTGAGGCGTTGGCTGATGGGTACTTTCATCCAGGGAGGACTCTGTCTCCAGTTGGAAACAATGCATTCTGTGAATAATTCCCATGGTCAAGTTGAATAAAAACAATACCTCGTTAGATGTATTAGTGTCGATATGATTCGCGTTTCGCGTATTCTTGTTCAACGCAACGACAACGCTGTTGGCGACATCGATTCAACGCGTAAGAATTCAATGCAACGCAACGCGTATCGATTCAACGCAGCAATGCAACGCAACACGAACTTACAGCAGGCGTCCACCATGGTGAGAAGGGAAGGTTGCTTAGTTTCGTTGAGGTCTGTTTAGCTCACAACGGATCTTATTCATTAGTTTCGTAGTAGGAAATAGTGAGCAGCATATATAGCAGAGCAGTTCCTTCTGGTTAGCACGCGATACACCGTGTTGTTCCTAATTTGCTGATAGTATCAATGAAAACCGGGACTAGAAGTACCAAAATTCATAGTAAGCACGTGTGATGCAATCCCACGAACCAGGGTTCGCCTTCGGAACACATGCATTGATCGGCATTCACATGCATTGGTTGTATGATATATCTTCATTACATTATATATTGCGACATCGCATTGTTGCATCTTTGCGCTGAAGATATTAGTCTTCATTGCAGTATATTCCGGTTACGACGACTCCCATGAAGGGTATGCAAGAAAACCGATTCCTAGTATATTCCGGCTACAACGAGTCCCATGAAGGGTATGCAAGAAAACCGATGCTACTAGGATCACAGAAAACCACGGCAAAAATTTCAAATAACACGGTGTAACGCGTAAGAAAGAACTAATTTCTTAACAACGAGCTCAACGTGTTGCTCATTATTTCGCTTTTTGTTACTGTTTGTTGAATCGTAATGATTGTTTAATCGTAATTAGTTGCTTTCACCATGGGAAATTAGTTGCTTTCACCATGGGATTCAGCGCGTGGGCGCTTGTTACTGGTGAGCACCAACGCCACTGTGGAGGCCATCGAAGAGGCCATTGAGGAGGCAATTGTTTCAGCCATGGTAAGCCAACGTTGGTCTCTTGCTTCTTCCCTTTTCACTTGTTCAGCTTCCATCTCAACAGCTTGTTTTGCTCTTTCAGCTTCCCTCTTATCCTGTTGCATGAGGAAATCCTTAAGAACAGCATCCTGATCAGCAAGTTCCTTCTTGAGCCTTCCATATGTTCTTTTCTTTGGCATTGGTGCTGGTGGCGGTCGTGCTGCCGCGACAATGGCCTCGGTATCGTCGTCGGTCGTGTTGGAAGTCGACGCTGTCTTGCTGCTTGATTTTGCTGGGTTCAAAGGGTCCTCCAAGTCCTCAACATCCTCATCATCGATGTAGCCTTTGACTGGATCATAGGTCTCCTCTCCATTTCCAATATTTGCTTTTATCCCAATCAATCGATGGGCCTCTCTTGCAAGCCGGACTGACTCGGGAATGTTGGGATTCCCAGTAGGCATCTTCATTCTCCTCAAGCGATTGAACTTGGTCTTAATGGATTCCTTAGATCTACCATGCCACTCTTGTCCGTGTCTATAAGCCACCATGTCCCAATCACTCTTACCAATTGGGAGGATCTCCTTGATGAGGGTCATCAACGAGATGAGCTCATCTTCCGTGTAGTTTGCAGTACCACCCTTACGGCCAGTCTTCTTCTTTGTTGATTGCCCTCCCGGGGGAGGAGGGACCGGTGCAGCCGCTGGAGGAAAGCGTCCCCCATTGCAGGGAGGGATAGTAGCGTAAGGACCAGTAGGGGAAGGCATCTTTGCTCCCGGAATGAATATTGTGTGAGGGACGTTGCTCCCCCTCGCTGACTCTGTCTCTTGAGACAAGGCCTCCAGCAAGAGGGCCTGTCTTAGTTTTGACCTACGATATACAAGAGCAGCAGTCACTAAGACAGGGGACATCATTGTTCTTTGTCTTTTATGATGCTTTCCCTCTTCATGGCGCCGGCGCTTTCTTCATTAAGAAGAAAAGATTTAGTAACGTAGTAAAAAA